CAAAATGATGGTCTTTTTGCTTTGCTTTTTCTGTTACGTCTATAGCTTTTCTTTGTACCAACCTGTGTAACAACTTGTTAAAATGTTTCACGTTTGTTTTTTACTTGTACCAACTTATGTAAACAACTTGTGCAGTCTATATAAAGTCTCATTCTCATAGTTCATAATAATCAAACAATTTCATCTTCTCCATCTTCCCGACCAAACAAAAAACTCTAAGCAAAATTTCTATTTCTCAAAAAATCTTTTCCATAATCACTCTCATATTTCACCAATCAAACCGCAAACTACAAAAAAACAATGGCATCTTCTTCTCATGATGATACCTTGGATCAATATTTTGATGATTTTTTTGATCAACAGTTTGATCAAACGTTCGAGGCTTTAACCATTGCTTATGGTGAGCAAGAAGCAAGAAAAAAAAAAGAAAAAAAAAAAGACTTTATATTGAAAGAAATCGAGAGGAAGGTAATGTACGCTTATGGAATGATTATTTTAGCGAAACTCCGACGTATCCACACAATATTTTCCGACACCGTTTCAGAATGAACATGTCATTGTTCATGCACATTGCCGATCGACTCTCCAATGAAGTTCCAGTTTTTGCCCAAAAGAGAGATGGTCTCAGAAGGCTTGGTCTCTCTACACTCCAAAAATATACATCAGCTATTCGTGTCTTGGCATATGGTACTGCGGCTGATACGGTCGACGAATACCTACGTCTCGCTGAATCCACAACTCGATCATGTCTGGAAAATTTTGTGGAAGGAATAATATATTTATTCGGCGACGAGTATTTGAGACGACCAACACCGACTGACCTTCAACGTCTACTTGATATTGGCGAGCATCGTGGATTTCCCGGGATGATAGGAAGCATCGATTGTATGCATTGGGAGTGGAAGAATTGTCCCACAACTTGGAAAGGACAATATTCACGTGGTTCAGGTAAACCAACAACCGTTTTAGAGGCGGTCGCTTCATATGATCTTTGGATATGGCACGCGTTTTTTGGAGCTCCAGGTACTTTAAACAATATCAATGTTCTTGATCGCTCACCTGTTTTTGATGACATAATAAAAGGTGAAGCTCCGCAAGTGACTTACTATGTTAATGGACGAGAGTATCATTTGGCTTACTATCTCACCGATGGTATTTATCCGAAATGGGCAACTTTTATCCAATCTATTTCATTTCCACAAGTACCGAAAGATGTTTTATTTGCTCAACGTCAAGAAGCTGTCCGAAAAGATGTCGAGTGTGCTTTTGGAGTCTTGCAAGCTCGTTTTGCAATTGTTAAAAATCCAGCACTTTTTTGGGATAAAGTCAAGATTGGGAAGATTATGAGAGCATGTATCATACTTCATAATATGATAGTAGAAGACGAACGAGATGGATAACTCAACTTGATGTTTCAGAGTTCCAACACAGAGAAGACACCAGAAGTTCACATGTGGATCCCGCGTATTCTACAGATATCTCTCCAAATATCGCTAATATGATGGGTGTTCGAACTACAATTCGTGATAGACAGATGCATCAACAACTAAAAAATGATTTGGTTGATCATGTATGGCTTAAATTTGGACGTGATCGAGGACAACTGAACTCTGATGCTGCTTTCAAATTATTATTGTTTATTTTACTAAGCTTTGTTTTATGTTTTTTAAAAAAATCTTATGTTTAAAATGTTATCTTTTAGTATGTTTTATTTAATCGAATAATTTTAAGTTTATTAAAAATATGTTTAATTTTTTTAATTTTTTAAGAACCCTAAATAAGAGCCTTGCATTGGACCTATTAAATCTATGGGTTGCTTATTTTATCTCTTAAATCACCTTTTCTATTAAAAACCATTAGAAAATAAATAAGCAACTATGCATTAAAGATGCTCTTAGTCATAAAGGATATGCAGCATTAGATTGTTATTTCCATCCACTCGATCATCATGGTGCTGCAAAGGGCCATGTTTTTGGAGCGTAAGGAAAGATAGTCTGTTTCTGATCATTTTATTGATCATGCGAGTGAGCTCCTGGGCGGAAAGAGAGACCATTATATTTTCGACTGTTTCTTTCGTGCCAAACATTGTGGATTACAGCTTGGAAAGATAGATGAAGAAGGCTAGTAATAGAACTACAGAAGGTGATCCACGACAGATAGGAGCATTGTGATGGTGATGCTCCAGCCAGGATTTGGTCTTGGTAGCAATGAATCTGTTGTCTCAGTCCAAACCGTATAGATGTATGTACAGGCGAAGAAACAAGTGATCCCTTATTTCGTGCAGTTCACCACAGGGGCAGCAATATTGATGCCCACCATTTTTACAGAATATTGGTTATACACACAATATCATTTCTCTAATTTTAAAGAATTACTAGATTATTACCCGCGTTAAACGTGGGTTATATTTTGATTATTATAATAGTTACTTAAATTTATCTTTTGTATAATTGTGAAAACTTATATTTTGTTATTGACGCTTGTAATATTTTGTGTTAAGTATTTACAGTTTTATTGATATATAACATAGTAAAAAGTATTATTTTTACTTTTCTTCTATTCTAAACTTTTAGATTTATATTTTATATTTCTGAATATAAGTTCAATAACATCTTAGAACGTTAAAGTTATTAATTGTTGAGCATTAGAAGAGTAAATTAGTAAAAATTGTAAAAATTTATTTTAGCCATGTACGTTCTAACTTTTTGATACATGTTTTAAACTCGAAATCATAATTTAGATATATTATATAATATTTAAATTAATTAAACGTCTATTAAGTTTAATGTCTATTTTATTTCTTATTGATATAAAAACCTGTGTTTTAGAAGATTTTGTGGATTTCTGTTTAAAATTTTACAAACTAAATATATATAATTTTACTGCATAGTTAATAAGACATCTTCTGATATCTTTTTGTTAAGATGCGAATTTTGAATTTATTTTTGAAATGTTTAGCACGTGAAATAGTTTAGGAAAAATGGTAATGCCTCAGTTTATATGTTAACACCATTAGAATATAGGATGTATAAACCGTGCGTTCAAATAAAACTATGTAAATCAAATACAAATATGGTCACGATTGAAATATATGTATTGGATTTTTGCGTCAAGGGTTAGAACGGTTTAGCTATATAATTATATGAAATTTTGGTTTATTATTCTAATCTATCTATCTATCTATTATAATATGGGAATTCGGCCAAAAAAAACACAAACTTTGCACGAATTGCCAAAAAAAATCTGTACATATGGGCTGGCCAAAAAACACTATACTTTTCTTGACTTTTTAATTTTATTAAGAAACTTTTGATTGACTGGCCAATTTGACACACCGTTAGCATAGTTAACAAATTTTTTTGACGACGTTAAATTTGGGCGTTATGATGAAACGACGTCGTTTTATGTATTTTTGTTTTTAAAAATAAAATGTGAAAACATGCTCCAAGGGATTCAAACTCGAGCACTTGGGGATAATGGTAGGCGCTTTGCCACTGGGCTAATAAACTTTTTATTGTATTGACGAATTGAGTTGTTTTTAACATTCTCTCATCCGAGTAAATTGAAAATAAAAAGACGTAGACACCAAGATTCAAACCAGGGTCAATTGGGTTAAAAGACATGGTAATTTACCACTGGGATAGAGTTACTTACAATGTATTCACTAACATATTTAGTATTATTGAGTACTTACTAAATAAAAAAAATCTCTAAAAACCTTAAAAATACCTTTAAATTACAAAATATGAAAAAATAAAGAATTTTTTTATAAAATTAATTTTGCAATTAAAATTTAAAATAAAATTTCATTTTTCTTTTAAAAAATCAAAAATCTTCCAAAATTTTCATTTAAAATGAAAAAGCTTAAAATAATTATTGTACCCATTATGAGTGCGATTTTAATTTTAAGTTGATAATTGTAACTTTAATTTGCTTGCATTTTCTTTGAGTTTTTAATTTTTTGGATTTGTTTTAAAATTTTCGTTTTTTTTTCATTTTTAGTAAAATAAATAAATATTATTTATAATTTAATTTAAAATTAAACTTTCTTGAAAATTTTGGAAATTTTTTGATTTTTAAAAAAAGAAAAAATGAAATTTTTGTTTTTAATTTTAATTTTAATTTTAATTTCAAAATTAATTTTCTAAAATCATCTTTATTTTCAATTTTTTGTAATTTTAAAGGTATTTTTAAGTTTTTTAGAGATTTTTTATATTCAATTAGTACTCAATAAATAAAATTATGTTAGTGAATACAATGAAACTAACACTAGCCTAGTGGTGGAATACCATGTCATTTGACCTTACAAACTCTGGTTCAAGTCTAAGGGTGTACGTTTTTTTATTTTCGAATCATGTAAAACTAGTAGTCAATAAAGAAATTATGTTAGTGAATACAAAGAGAGTAACACTAGCCCAGTGGTAGAATACTATGTCATTTGACCTAACCAACCCGGGTTCAAATCCAGTGGTCTACGTTTTTTTTATTTTTGAATCACATAAAACGACGCCGTTTCATCTATTTGAAAACGACGTCGTTTCACTTAATGGCAAGATTTAACGGAAACTTAACGCTGTCTAAACTGCGAATTAACGGTGTGTCAAATTGGCCAGTCAATCAAAAGTTTCTTAATAAAATTAAAAAGTCAACAAAAGTATAGTATTTTTTTGGTCAGGGTCGAGTCTAGGTTTCTTTTGACAATTCGTGCAAAGTTCGTGTTTTTTTTTTGCCGAATTCCCATTATAATATACTATGTTTCTCTCCTTTTTAAGAGGTCCACGTCAGATTTCAGGTCATTATGTCTATGTGGACAGATCCAAATTGGACCTGCGATGTTTATGTTTTATTTCCCTTATTGTTGGACCTTATTTCAATTTTTCTGGCCCGGTTACGTTTGACTCGCGACCCAAAGTGTTGTCTTCTCCACGGCGACTATTGGTTTGTCTGCTTCATCTCAAATCATCTTCTAAATCTTTGAATCACTTTTGTTTTTGCGAAGCATGAAGAATCAACCTTCAGGAAGATCGTGGAAGGATTCTGACATGGTGGAGGTCGCTCCTCCTATGGTTGCTTCAAGTTCGACAACTTTAGAAATCCAGAAAAGTTGAATTTTTGTATCCTCTTATGTAATTTATGTACCCATTTTCATTGACTCCATAGTGTCTTACCTTGAGATTAAAAGTCTTTGAGAGATTTAAGAAATAATTCGAGAGTTCTCTGCACATGTAGAGATCATGTTTCTTAGTAAAAACCTATGGTGGTGATGGAGGCGGAGGTGGTGATGAAGAGGAGGAAAGCTGATAAAACTGAGGAGAAGAAGTTTGGTCCGATATTAAAGTGCAAGGAAGTTATGAAAGAGACGGAGCGTAGAGGGGTTACACTACAGGAGGATATGTTGGAGGCTGCGAAGTCTGTCGGGATTTGAAAACTGCTTCCTCTCCGTTATCTCGATCTCCAGGTTTGTTTTTTTGTAACATTTGAAAAATATTTTCTGTAAGATTATGATGACTTATGTCTAAGAGTGATGATTTTGCAGGTTTATTTTTGGCCGCTTGGGTTTCTGATGAGGACATGCACGATGCTTCGAAACAGAATGCTTCCAGACCCTTCGTTTCTCTTCAAAGTTGGAACCGAGGTTTGTCTGTCATAGATCAAAGCTTTGTTTTTTAGTTTGAATCTTTGGTCTGGTTAATTAAGATTGCGTCAAGGGTCTGAGTTCTTGAGTTACTGTAAATATCTTGGTTTTACGGATTTGATGCAGCTCTTACTACTTCTCAGTCATGATAAATTTATCTGTTCACTAAGGAGGAGGAGAAACTCTTTCGTTTTGGTAAAGACCCACCAACCCATTACTTACTTCTTTTGAGCTGCTTAATTCTGTCTCTTAGTCACTGTCCTACTCTTGATAGATGGCAACTTCACGAAGGATGTTATAGCAGAGTTTGTGTCAGCCAACAAAGTTCCATTGGTCATCAACTTCACTAGGGAAGGCGCTTCACTGATTTCTGAAAGCTCTGTTAAAACCCAAGTAAAGACCAGTCTGTCTTTTTTTTTTTTTTTTTGAAATTTTCCCCATGTTCCTTGCTATGGACTGACTTTGATATCTTGAACCTTGACAGCTCATTCTTTTGGCTCGGAAAATGAATCAGAGAAGCACCTTCCCACTCTGAGTCAGGTGGCAAAGTCCTTCAAAGGAAAGGTACTTTTATTTACATCTTTTATTTTTATGTGCTCACTTACTGGAACAGTTTTTGAGAGGAAAAAAAACGCCTAGAGAAGGTAGACGGATGATGACTAATAGTTTTATTTTCTGTGCTATCTCTGCAGTTTGTGTTTGTTTATGTGCAAATGGACAATGAGGATTATGGAGAAGCAGTTTCTGGATTCTTTGGGGTTACCGGCACTGCCCCCAAGGTATAATATTATGTAGTTAATATGAAATATATCTATGCATCAGTCTTGCTTTTTTTTTATTGTTAACAAACAAAGTTTTGCATTTGTGTATGCAGGTTCTTTACACTGGAAATGAAGATATGAGGAAATTCATTCTAGATGGTGAATTGACCGTGAACAACATCAAGGTCAGTTTCTACTCCTATTATCTGTGAAGTTCTATGGTTTCATTATTTGGTAAATTATCTTAAAAATGACTTTTTATTTTTTACAACAGCCACTCGCGGAAGATTTCTTAGCAGACAAACTGAAGCCATTCTACAAGTCAGATCCAGTACCTGAGAACGTAAGCCTTACCACATTTCAATTTTAAACATACACGTCTGACATGACGCATCAATACTGATCTATTACTAGCTTCTATAATCAAACGCAGAATGACGGTGATGTTAAGATCATTGTGTGGGAAACAATTTTGATGAGATTATTCTTGGCGAGTCAAAGGATGTTCTTCTCGAGGTAATAATCACATTGAAAACGTTATGAGTCTTGTGTACACATCCTAATGCGTGAGTTTTATTTTATCAATATAGGAGTATACATAAATCAGAAGAAGATGTCTTTGTTCTACCTCTATTTGAAAGTGCTACTCTCTGGGGTAATGTCTTTTTTATCATCTTAACTTAGTTGCAGAACTCAAGAGACAAGTGCCAAGATTCATCTGTGAAATGTTGGATTAAAATCTCATTAATTGACTCTCTTTTAATGTTTTCTTCCTTCACCAGGTGTGTTCCTGGGATTTTCTTCCAACGCACGTTACCAAATCATCAACAGGCTTGAACGGGTCGTGGAAGGTTCTAAAGATAACTGGGGAAAGAGAAAAATGTCTATAAACTATAAAGATGTTTGGGACCACGTAAGATAGATTGAACTACAATGAGTTTTTTTTATATATGAAAAAAAAAAGAAACTAAAAATATTTGTGTATAGCCTTGATAAAGAAAAATAGATCACTGTAATTTTTATCCATGACTCTTGCTTTTCGTCACGGTTCTTTCATGACTAAAATTTGTGTAATGCTGTACTACAAAACTCTTTAACTTTATATAACTTTATGAAAAAATTATTACAATTTTTAAACTGCTGATTAAAGAAAAAATATAATATAAACAAAAAAAAAATCGTAGAATTAAAGGGAGATGGTCCATTAAATTAATTATAAACTAACTCGAAACAAAATTTAGTGCAATTTGCCCTTTCTCAAAAAAAAAAAATTAGTGCAATGAAGCGTTCTTACAATCCAACCAATCAAATACTACAACTAAAATTTACTAATTTTTGTTTATTTTGTTCATCATCTTAGTAACCGACATTATATGTAAAGTAAAACCCTTCCGTAGGATGGACTGGTCCTAGTATGCTATAAGTTGGTGATAATGATATCCGTAAGTTTAAAATGTTTAATGACATTGAATATTTGAAATTTCAAATACCAAAAACATGTATCCTTATTATAATGGATATTACATTTAGTTTTAATGAGATTAAATATGTCCAAAATATAAGTGACAACTTTTTTAAGTAGATAAAAATTAGGACTTTTAGTTAGTAGAGTAGATAGAACAAAAAAATATTCTTTATCAAAAGTGGAAAGGAACAATCTACTATAATTAAAGGAGCAAATACTTGGAGAAGGCAGTTACCAGCGATGGAGAAGGCGATAGGGAGAGCGATTGCTTCAAACTCCTTTTTCTCTGTTTTTTTCATCCAAAAGTGTGATTTCATCAATCAGATACGTGTTTGACTCCATAATGGCATCTCTAGTTTCCTTTTTTAACCAATTTCTTTGTGATTTTCTCTTCTTTCTACTCGATAAGAGTTTCAATATTATTCACAACTTTTTGGGTGTTGGTCACTCTATCACCCAATTGGTTGTTGTTATCTCCGGCATGGAATTAGTGGCCATGACCGATGACAAAACGATCCATATGTTTGTGTTGAATTCAAAGTTATGTTATTTGTTGTGGAAACAACGCCCACCCAAAAAACCACCGTGGATTCGACATATGGAAGAAGAGTTCAAGATCAAAATGAAGAGTTTGCTTTGGATCAACGAAAAATGTTTCAGAAATTATATTTTGATACAGTATATTTGGTATCAAAATATATTGCTGAAATCATGGAATTCATCAAGGAAAAAGCAACAATATGAAATGGAAGAAGACATCTCTTTGTTGTATGGCGATATTCGTACAATCGTTAAAGATTGGTCTTTCTAATTTTTATTTCTTATGGTTAAATCAATGTGGATTTTAAACCAAAGAATATTTATAGATCTAAATTGGAATAAGACCAATGTAATACAGCAAAGAGAATTGCAAAGGAAATCTTGGGATTTCATCGATTGTACGATTGCTGAAGCTAATCGCATCGAAAAACCTTATTATCCGAGAAGATGGTTTAGAAAGAAGCCTGATTCTCTTATATTGTATTTTCTTCATTTTAAATTTGCAGTTGGTTGTATTTTATATTATTTGTAATGTTACATTTTATATAAATAAAATCGTTGTTAAAAAAAAAAAAGAGCAAATACTTAACTGTGGTGTTTCCACGTCAGGAATTATATTCCTCCAATAGGGGTTCAATTTTCGGCCAGGTCAGCAACTGCTTATTTCGAGTGGGCTTCAATCGAATTCGTTTTGGGTTTTAATTTGTTATTTTGATTTAATTTCCGGTCCATTTGGCCCAACCTCAGAAACATCACTGTAACCCTAATTTGTCGTCACTGAATCCATTTCTTCGATTCTTCTTTGTTCTTCTTTGGTGATTCTTCTTTGTTCTTCTCCATCCATGTGCCATGAATCCTTCTTTAATATCTTCGTTCTGCCTTCACACGAGTATGCGGTCCCAAAGGAAAAAATTGATCATTTCAAAACCGTCGCTGCTCAAGATATCGTCTGTTCTCAGGTTTGTAATCTTACAGTACTCATCTCAGTTTTAATATAACAGAAGCATACAAGCTTAACATTAAAAGAAGAGGATATCGCTGTTACCAATGTCAAGATTGATTTAGCTTGTCTGAGAGAAAACCCTCTTGAATGGTAAAGGAAAAACAAACACTGTTTTAGCTTCTTTGTTTATTTTAGTTAGCGCTTAAATTAAATTCTAACCAGCTTATCTTTTTTGTGGGGTTTTTTCACATTCAGCATCAAGTTCTTCAATGTAAACTATCATCTCTCTGTTTCTGTACACCATAAACTCAACAGAGAGTGAGGAGAAGTTTGTGATACCAGAGAAACGAGTTAGTCACTTTTACCAACAACATTTCAAGACATGATAGTCAGAGCATATGCCAAGAAACCAGAACTGGTTTGTGATCAAATATATATATATATATATATATATATATATATATATATATATATATATATATATATATTTGTAGTATATTCACATTGGTTTCTTTGTTATTGATATTGGTTTTTGCGATGCCAACAGGTGGAAACAGTTTCTGAAGCATTTGAGAACTTCCAAGTGAGAACGTATGGAATCAAAGCCCAAGTTCATGAAACACCAGAGAAAAAGAAACGCCGTGTCATGTTATTAGTTACGTGGCCATAACTCATTTCATTCTTCTTTTTACTGTTTTAAAACTTTATAATGACGGATGCGTGCGTATATGCTAAGCACACTCTTGCGTATAGAGAAAGCAAATGCCATGATCCAAAAAATCTCATGTCTCTTTGTATTTCACATCTCACCAGGTCCATCTCGATCCGAATTACTCTGAAGATGAGGAGGCCAAGGAAGATGATGATGAGGATGATAGTGAAGATGAGGATGATGATGACTCTGAAGATGAGGAGGTACTTTTGTTTATATAATAAAGTGATCACTTTGTAGAATCAAACTTGCGTTTAATGGCACATGAAACTTTTAAACAGGTTCAAGAGTTGTATCATATGTTTTGTTATAACGATTCATTAGCTATTGTGCCCGTATTGTTTGGGAAATAAGATATGCTGGTTTATAACCTTTACCATATGCCTTTCCTCACATGAACCTGCTCTAATTTCTTTTCAGGAAGAAAAGAAGGTTACTGCTGAAGTTGAAGAGGACGATGATGATGAAGACGACTCATCTGATGATGAAGAAGATGACTCATCAGACGAGGAGACCCCAGAGAAGAATAGGTGGAGCAGAGCGTGGAATGGAGGTAATTGCTATAAGTTTCAAAACAAAAAAGCTCGAGGAATTCTCGCAATAACCAATGTAAACATGTTATATATTTGTAAATATGTGATTCTGTCGGAAATCGACCAAAGACGACATTGAAGAACCGAAATCAATTATGGTACTCAGGTTGCAGCTCCAAAAATGGCATGAATATACTCGGCACAGCTATTCAGGTTCATAGTCATAGAGCAGCTGGTAGGGTTAGTGTATGCTCGGCTACAATTTTAGTGCATCTATGGGCCACGGCTAGAACCCTCAAGATTGCTGATGACCTGAAGAGAGGTTCATCTCGCTACTATTGGTAAGTTAGAAATATAGAGCTCTTCAGACATTAGAGCGTTTTCAGATCTGCCATGTGGATTCCTCCAAAAAAGAGTCAAGAGTTGTCTTCTTCTGGTTTATTAATAATTGATGAAATTTATAGTAACAAGTAAAACGATGTTGTATCACGTTGTATTATTATATCTTTTCCAAAACAACGCTTCTTCTTTTATAAATGCAATAACTTTGTTTTTTAGGCTTGATGAAAATGTGTTTTTTCTTCATCTGATTTTTTCTAGGGATAATGGTTTTATTATGGAGACGGGAATGAATCAGAGTTGTCTTCTTACGTAGATGAATACAAGATCCCCAGAAAAATAGATTGAGACATCAAAATTTTGAAAATTGATAAGGATTACAAAAGCCTTTATTTAGAAAAATAATAGGGCTTAATGATTTTGTTTTTACAATTCCTTACTATTATATTTATATGAAAACATTATTTTTTAATTTATAGAGATAAAATAATTTGTAATTTTTAAAAACTAATTTCAGTTTTTAATGTAGAGACACAATCATTCAATATTAATTGATATTTCTATTATTAATAGATATGTAAACATTATTTATTTATATAATCAACTTTCAAAGGCAAATATACAGATATGAAATGAGTAAAAAGTTACAAAATTTTATAATAAGAATTTTTGTGAAATATTTCGGTTTTAGCACTAATATTTTTTAAGCTTAAATATTTAGAAAAATTTAATATAAATAATAATTCTATTTTAGCTTGCCTAATTTATTCTAATTTTATGAAACTAATTAATCATTAATAACTTCATTTGAAAGAGGGTCAAAGGATAAAAGGTGAAATACAATTTCTTAATATACCAAACACACATAAATTTTGAAAGAGAATGAAATTCATAAGGTCATTGAAAAAAAAAAGAAATTCACAAGGTTTTAATGTGTGTGGTATTTCCAATACATATTAATATTTTGTTCATACGAATATACGATACATGCACACATATTATAAATTTTAAATTTACTATTACGTTGAACCGGCGACAAGAGATATAATACCATGAACTATACTCTTGACAAAATCATTTCAAATTCAAATGTTTGATTTCTTTACAAACAAAAAAAACATATGTTGTATGAAAAATGTATAGTACATACACATAAAGTACGAAATGTATATTTCCAGTATTCATACACAAGAAGTATGATCTTCTGCTCTTACCATATATTTCGATCCATTGAGTATGATCTTTCTACTTAATAATCTATCTAGAAATTTTACATAGAAACCTACATAATCAATCTACACAATGGCATTGGGTATGATATTTTTCTCTTACCATATATTTTCTGTTTTTGTTTCTTGAGGCAAAGCCTTAGTGATCCTTGACTATTTTTGAATTTATATCCTCTGTTTTTTGTCAGTGTTCACCAGTAGAACAATGTAAGAGCACTGATCAATTTTCTTTCCCGTAAAGAAGCTTTGATTAGTGATGAAGAACATAAATGAAAAAGATAGTCGACTCTCCAAAACGAGGTCGTCTTTTTATTGACCTTCAGGGTAGTAGTTTACTTAAGAGTTCTTCTTCAGTTTGGTTTTCATCTGATTTTTTTATTTATATTAATGGTTTATTATAAATTGGTTTGAAGGAATAGCGATCAGTTTTCGTTAATTTTGACTAAACTTATTTTGTTTCATAAAATGAGTCGGTTTGGTATGAACAACATATTTTAAGTATCAGTTTAACTAAAACTGTGTTAACCCTTTTTCAACTTAGCAATCTATCTAGAAAAAATTGTGTTTTAGCCAAACTAATGAAAATTATTAAGGTTCTTTTGGCTAGAAAAATTTTTAAAAAAAAATATTTATATCAAACTAATATTGTATATTATATAATTTAGTTAGACTGGTAAGTTTAATTTTGAATAAACCAAATAGAAAATTTGTTTATACGTCAGTTTTATACTTTCTTTTGAAACATAGTCAAAATAAAAATAAAATAATGATCCTACATAACAGAATTTAAATCTTAATAAATATAAAATTATTTTACATAGAAACTTACATAATCAAGAATAAAAAACATATCGATCAAAATTAACGTGTAAGCAATTTCTAACTCATACCATCATCTCATTATATAATAAAACACACAACACACTATGATTTCTAACATATCACATTTATTAGGAAGAAAACAATTAATAAATAGAGTTTAATTTGTATTCTAACTTATTTTATAATCAATTCAAAATAGATATATATATATATATATACTATTAAAAAAATAAAAATAATTACAAAGTTTAAAACAAACAACCCGGGCGTAACCCAGGAAAGCCCCTAGTAATAATAATATTTCCGTTTCGTTCTTATTATTTTGTTCCCGATCCTTCTTTTATTTTCTGTTTTATTCCTCTTGTTCCTTTAATAGTCAGTTGCACATAATTGTGACAATTAAATTTGCAACTTTAAAAGGAACAAATAAATAAGAGACAAACTTGCAAATTGGTTATCACATTATGATTTTTTTTTTATCAACTTACATTATTATGAATATACAGTCACATATGGGTTGACTTTACGGAATTTGCACTCGAGGGGGGGGGGATATATTATTACTACCATGATCTCCAATAGCAACGAAGCACGACACGACACAAGAATCGACCTTAGAATCTTTTCATTTTCTTTTTATTTGATTCCTACTCATCCACATTAATATTTGTAAAAATTGGTCAGTGGCAGTGTGGCACACCCTGGTCTGGTCATTAATAAATCCATTCCTCCGGGAGAAGTTTCTCCGGCGAATCATTCGGAGTTTTGACTTCAATGTCCACAGATGTTTGCACCATTTCGCTCTTCAACTTATAATCAGTTTCTCGAATTTCTACACTCAAGGCGAAACAAATATACTTAAAATCGATTTTTCTATTAAACATGATGGTTTTAAATACAGTTGCAAAAAAAAAAGAGAATGATGGCCGGGAACAAACCTGAACGAGGGGAGATATGAATTCCGTTGTTGTGAACGTTGAGATTGAGCGCTTGAACAACCCGTGCTGGGAGAAGCACCGGCGAGCAAGCTGTGAACGTATGAATTTTGTTTTGTTACAAGTAATAAAAATTATAACATCAAATCTTTAATTGATAATAACGTAACTCAAGGTTTTGGCATTTTTAGGCTTGAATACAATAAACAAAATTTATTGTTTTGAAGAGATAACTTTAACGTAAAGAAGGAAAGTTTCCTAATTTAATGTGGAAGTTAATTAACCCTTTGAATTTAACCTGAAAGCTATAAAGATTTTAGTACTGTATATGCAGTTGAAAATACAGTATGATTTAACATTTGGTCCATACTAATACGTATAGAATTCATTACTAGTAACCTGGTTTGTTGGTTGGCGGATGAGATGCAGTGGCCGGAAGAAAAACTCCGGTACCAGAAGTCGTACGGCCCGGCGAAACCAAGAAAAATGCTTGCATTCGGTCCTCTCCTTTACTCCTTTGCCAATTGTTTTGCTGCTTTTGTCTTGTATTATACTTCTTCATAATACACAAGATTTTAGTTTCTAGTTTTTATGTTTTACTTCATTCACAAGAAAAATGTTAAGATAAATTTAACTCAAAATTAAGTTATATAGTATTCCCGGTAACCGTATTTCTCCCAATATCGGTAAAAGATTTTTTTTTATAATACTTTACAAAAATAATGAAAACATCTTCAGAAAAATAATGAAAAAAATGAAATCTTTACCAACGGAAAAGTTTCTTTGTGAGGAGGTGCACCAGGTCGATGGAATCTACCGCTGCCATGATGGTGGTAATTGTTGTTCTTGAGGGATTTATGCAGCTGTGCGAGAAACAAAGAAGTTAACAACGATTTCGATTGACACAAAACAAGATCAAATTAATACGATAATAGACTTAATAGTCAATTAAAAAAAGTTAGATACTAAACCTGATGTTTGTTGGAGTGATCAAACAAGGGATCTTGGAGAACATGAGAGGGCGACCATATTTGCCTATCTTTGTGGCCGATAATGTCACCCATTTAGTCTGACACAATAGTTAAATAACTTTGAAATAATCTTCGAAGAAGATTAAGGACCAAGAACAGAGGAAGAGGAGAAGAGGTTTTGATTTTGCGCAACTTCTAACCTGAATCCTAACTATAAATATTACTCTGCTCACGATGGGTTTGGAAAGTAGAGGAAGAGACGTTGACGACATATTGTTTGGAATGCTAATTATTGTTTTTTAGATGATATTATAAAGTTTCAGTGCCGCCATTTTATTTTATTTTTTATTGCTTTAAATCAAAATTAATTCACCTGTTGACAACAGAGAAAGAAAGATAGTTATTTGAGTTTGGATTCTTCGTTATAAGAGGATAAATAATTCATTTCAAATTTCCAAAACAAATAGTCATATCATTTTATTTATTTCTAAAAAATCACAAAAACCTAGTGTAATTGTGTAGGAACGCCAACATTAATCAAAAGTTACTTTATTTTTCATATAGTTTTGACCATGATAAGTTTTTAGTTTTGCCTACTACACCCTTCATAGTAATCACGTAATAGCATAAATTTTAATAAAACAACATATTATAAATTTAATTTTGTTTTTATTACAATAGCATTCAGAAGTATTTTTCTAATGTTTTGTTTAGCAATTAAATCATTGAGTTTGTGTTGACAAAATAAAAGTATATAGTTTATAAGAAAGATTAAGGAGATCATGATGGAGGAGTGGGTTGAGTTGTATTGGGTAAACGCATCCCTCTAATATTTAATCACATTGTTTATGTTTGATGCTACAGTCTAAGTCGTTCCTTGAAAAGACCATAACTTTTACAAGTAAAGTAGGGCTTCACCTAAACTTCAAATTAAAATTTTATAATGTGTGGTTTTTTTTTTCTTTTCGTTATTAAACCAATTCAATCCAAAACTTGTAACAGTGTTAAAATTGTCGAACCCAAAAACAGTTTTGCAAATCAATAAGCAAATTACTAAACGTACAAATTTTCTATATTTAAATACCAACAATATTTACAATTTACTTTATAATTTGTACAAAGTATACTCTCTGACTTGAAAATATATCCCACCAAAACCAATTACTAATTAACTTTTTGTTTTAAGAATCGAACTATAGTTCATGATCTTATCCTTACCGCAAGTGATCTAAAGTCTAGTCGTGAGATTACATGACCCAATCGAGAAGGAAAACTTAGTAAATTAATAATTAGTATACGTGGGTGCTTTGTTTCACAAAAAAACAAAAAATATATATACGTGGGTGCTTAAACCGGCCATCTATAGTTTTACAATTAATAATGTACTTAAAATGAAAATAAATAAAGAATAAGATTCGAACAATTAACCAAATGTTGTAGTTTACCAACCAGCTTAAAAGCTATAAGTTTATATAACACTTGGTGAAAGTTTAGACACCTAATTTAATATATCAAATATATTCTTTATAGTTAAAATGGTTGACTAAGCAAACGAATCCACTTTGGACACAAGTCTTTGAAGCCTACATATGCTAAACACGAGTCATAACTACCCAACAAGAAGAGTTGAAGTAGGTTTTTCAGTTAGTCAACCTCTCAAAGATCATTTGACATCATCACCCTATAGAGAGAAGAACCCAGCATATAAAAAAATTGGCAACAAACAAAAAAGTTTTAGCAATATTAAATTGACAAAAAAAGGAAAAAAAAAAACTCACAGCAATCCGTTGCAGCTTTGGACAGACCACTCTCCTTGAGTTCTAATTGCCTGATTCAAGACAAGCATTTCCATTCCACAGGACTTGGGAGTCTCTAACATAGCAAAAAGGCTTTGATGGATTCGTTCCAAAATATTAAGTTTTCCTCGGTTTGTGAAAGTTGCAGACCGATACTAAGACTGCAGCTTTTAAGCTTAAGAAATGGTGTTTGAGATTTCAGTCACACGCATTAGACTAGTTAGTCTTATAAGCTCCTTAGTCTCTTCATCCATCTCTACATTGTCCTTTGACATTCGCTCATCAACTATGAGTGCCATTTCACCGGCTTTGGCGTATGTACGTAACAAAAAATTGTAGAGCTGAGTGTTCACATGACCAACCTTTTGTAGGATAGTCATAAGCTTCTCTGCTCCTTTAACATCTCCTTGCTCCTCGAGTTCCTTGCACACTGCTTTAAGCAACCTTACATTCACAGTCCATTTCTTCACAGCATCAATGGCTTTCCCGAAACAATCTAACACTTTCCCCATGTCTTTATGTTTCAAATAAGCCCATGTGAGAATCTCCCATGTAGAATAGCTAGGGTTTATCCCTTTCTCCACCATTCGTTCGTGAAACTTGTCTCCTAGGTGAGTCTCGTCTCTGTTCATGTACTCAGCAAGGATTAGATTCGGGATTCTAGCATCTCTTGTCCCAGAAACAGACTCCCATTCATCGTACAAACCTTTGGCTTGCTCGAAGTCTCCAAGCTTCACCACTGCAGATATCATGCTCAGGTACTCTGCATCATTCATCTTCTTGAAAGATGACTTAATCTTCTTCCAGGTTGAGTCAACTCCATCTTTATCCCCCAAGTTCCCGTGCAGACTTATGAGAGATGCAAAAGCAACCCTGTTTTTCTTAGAGACTAACTTCTCCATCTCCTTCAAAGCAAGTTTCGCCTTTTCGAGATTATCAGTCTTAGCATACAGATTCGTGAGCACACTGTAAGTCACCCAGTCCGGACTCAGGTTTGCTTCCTTCACCTTAAGATAAACTTTCTCCGCAGCTTCCACATCATTTCCAGAGGCAAAAGCAGTGAGCCATAGATTATACGTAACAATGTCAGGCAATGTTTTGCTTTTAAGCTCCTTAATCATCTCCGGGACCTTCTCAAACTGCCCTTTCGAGATGTACATGGAGAGCATGTGATTGTAAGGCAGACAGGACTTCAAGAAACCACAATCAGCCATCCTTCTAAACAAGGCCTCAGCTTTATCAGAGAGCTTGTTCTGCACATAGCTGTGGAGAAGAGATGTGCAAGCAGCATGGTCTCGCATTTTATCAGGCATATCTTCGAAGAACTTCTCAGCACTATTCAACCCACGGATCTTAGAAACTAAATCCAAATGAACAGCATAGTCACCAGGTTGCAGCTTTATATCTTCCTGCAGAACCATCCATTCACATATCTACACATAGAAGAACACTATAACAGTTTACCACAATGAACTCAAGATCAATCCAATTATCAGATAACTACAACAGTTTACCACAATGAACTCAAGATCAATCCAATTATCAGATAACTACAATGAACAATGAACTCAATATCAATCCACTTACCAGTGAACTCAAAATCAGTCCACTTAGCAGATAACTACCAGTTTACCACAATGATTTCAAGATCAATTCACTAATCAGACAGCAGTTTACAACGATGAACTCACTTATCAGATAACAACAGTTTACCACTTTGAACTCAAAATCAATCCACTTATCAAATAAGTTATTATTAGATAATAGTTAACCACAAATCAATCCACTTGTCAAATAAGTTATCACTAGATAACTGTGAACTAAAAATCAATAACTTATCAGATAATAACAGTTTACCACAACGAATTCAAGATCAATCCACTAATCAGATAACAGCTTAGCACAAGGAACTCAAAATGAGGAACCTCAAGAGCGTGTTTGTATCGTTTGATCTTACGGAGCTCCCTAACGATCCGATTAAGCTCGTACTTGCGAACGGAATGGCCTTCTTCTTTCCATTTACGGATAGTAACGACGGCGCTGCGTTTTGTATACGTAAGGCTTAGTAGCCTCCCTCCTAGACTGTCTCTTCCTCCTCCTCTCGCTTCTTTTTTGTCTCCTCCGCTCCGAGTCTTCACCAAGTCTCCACTCTCCGTCGCGGCGGAGAATAGGCGGCAAAGGGAGGCTAGGGTTGGCCGAGTTGAGCGGAGATGAATGATTCGATTCATGTTTATTAACTGAGCTCTGAGAGGATATTTTCTAGTATTATATAGTGGCAAGGTAAACACCAACCTCTTTTATTTGGCCCAGTCCCGGCCTATTATATAGTGGCTTAGATTTTTATTAGCCCATGACAAATACCACGTGCGCTTGAGCCCAGTTACCTTTTAGAAAATATATGATTACATACATAATTGAAACTAGGTAATAATCCGCGCCTTGCACGGAATGAGAATATTATTTTATGTTACTTTTAATATAAAAATGATACTACGTTGTTTTTTTAATGTCCCAAAATATAACTATCATTGTAAATTTATATATATTTTGGTTTGTCTGATTTAAATGTTTGATGTTTTTAAAAAATTTCAATGATAACCAAAAACTATTGTTATTTGTTTGGTTTCGTTTTATATAAATTTTAGACATTTTTTATGTCGAACTAATAGTTTCCTATTATAATTTCTAAAGACATGTAAAATCAAATAAAATATAAATAATATTTGAAGAAAAAAAAATTATTAACACAAAACATTTCACTACAATTTGAGCGATAGTGAAAGAACATTAAAAAAAATTCAACTTCAATAAGAATTAAAATTCTCACTTGTGGTGAATATTTAGTTATATAGTCGCTCATGTCAATATATACATCTTTGTATATGTAAAAATATATAAATGTGATGATAAATATATGAATATACCGTTAATTAAGGTTTTAAAACATTTTTGTTTAAAATAACACATGATAGTAAATTCTTAAATAAAATTAAGTAAAAATAAACAAACCTAGAAATTAATAATATTTTTTCATATGAAGAAAATCAAATTGTACTCGTAAATAATAAAATAATATATATTACAAAGTGATATCTTCACTTGGTACCTGAGTTATGTTTTTTAATCGATTTGTAATTTTTATTTCTTTTTAAAGCTTTTTTATTTCTGATTTTCTTCTAGCAATTTGATTTTGTTTTTAATTCTTGGTTTGAAATGAAAATTTTATAAAAAAATATTAATATTTGACTAAACTAAAGATCTGACTTTACATGTTGTGTTTTCACCCTAGTTTTTTTAATTCATAATCAATCACCATTTTTGTTGTTATTGTGTACTAAAGTCTCAACCATGACCAACTTCGGTAAGGTACAAAATTTTCAATTTCTATAAACATTTTCATCACAACATTTTAGTTGATGCGAATCTTAATGATTTTGTAAATTTTTTTACAATAAAGATATTATTCATTAGTTTCACGTAGAAAATTTTAATTTATTAATACAAAGGTTAAAAATGTAGGAAAGTGAATCAATTAAAAATAATATATAAACACATTAAATAATAAATTTAAAAATTAAAATGTAAACGTATTAATTCCTAAATGATTTGAAATGCGACACGTGTCAATTACAATATAAATGTATTTATTACAAAAAAAAAAATTTAATATATAAAGAATCTCATGGAAATGAAAAATAAATACGTGGATGGAACACTGATGTGATGTTTTCGAGGATATTGTACCGGTTACGTCATCAGTAGCTTTGACTACAAGAATTGATTGTGAAACCGAAAACAATCTCGAAAGAGGAAAAGAATCTGAATAGGTATCGTGATGGTCTAATTAAAATGAGAAAGGTTGGTTGTTTGAAAGACCTTGTGTTTCTAGTCTTTTAGTTTAAATTTCCACAGACTAAATATTTTATTATATTCTTTGTGTGCTTAATTTTCTTCTAAAACCAACAAATGTTAGTAAAAACAATTAATACATGTTTAGACTTTTGGAAATAAACAATTAATACATGTTTAGACTTTTGGAAATAAACAATTAATACATGTTTAGACTTTTGGAAATAAACAATTAATTTATGGTCAGTCAAACTCAATTTACTGGTGGTCAGTCAAATTAAATTCAACCTACAAGGCCAAATGGCAACAACATTAATAGATAGAGATAAATTTATATATATATATATATATATATACACAGAAGCATGAGGTTAGTTCTAAATTTACAAAAAAATATCGGAATAAAGCTCTGAAGAATGAAGTTTTTGATTTTCATATCGTTCTTGCTCATGCTTACGTTGTGCTCTTCAGGTAATTAAATTTGTATGCTAAAATATCTTCAAACTTTAAATTAGTATTCTAATTTCAATACTATATCAGTATATAATATACTTTGTCTACTTCAGACGAATATTTTCTGAAAATATCAACGTTAATTCCGACATATATAATCTGAACTTTGTATATATATTATTAGGATCTGTGGAGGGTCACGAAATTGCTGATAACGACCTCTATACCTCGAACAAGGTATGCATTAATTTCAATAACTAAATGTTCTTTCTTTGTAGGGACCCCTTTGTATTTTCATTGTTTTTCTAGTCTCAAGAGTCCTTAGTGATTAAAAAATATTTTTTCAATCGTCATTTTTTAAAACAAATACGTATGTAGTAGTTTTTCACTTTTTTGTAACTCATGTGTAAATTTACCTTAAAATAATTGTCTGTGATGCAAAAAAACAAAATGTAATAATAGGTTGAAGAGCTATATAGTGATCGAATGATGGATTATCCTCCAACAGGTCCAAATCCAGGACACGACCCGAGAGTTTCTCCACCTCCACCTTCTGAAGAGCTATATAGTGATCGAATGATGGATTATCCTCCAACAGGCCCAAACCCAAGACACGACCCGAGAGTTCCTCCACCTCCACCTTCTGAAGAGCTATATAGTGATCGAATGATGGATTATCCTCCAACAGGTCCAAACCCAAGACACGACCCGAGAGTTCCTCCACCTCCACCTTCCGACAAAGAAAACAAGATGAAAATTATGTCAACTGAGTAAATGATCGTATTGAAATCCATTCCATCTTTGTAAAACAAAACATATAATTAAATAAATTGCATGTGAGTGCTTATTTTTATATTTAAATTAGGTGTTTGCCCGTAATTTTGCGGATAGTACTATAATACGAATAAATATATATTATATTTTATAGTTTTCTAATTTATGAATAATAATTAAAATATTAAAATTAAAATTTTTTACTTTAAATAATTTAATAATCAAAATATCGATCATTATATATCGAGGTATGAGATTTAAAATAGTTCAACAACATAATTCTACGTTTGTTAATTTTTTTCTCTTATATAAAGATAATATTAGAATTATTTCACATATTATTTTTTGTTTTATTTTAATACGTGAAAACAGAAATATCATAATCTCCAAAAGAGAAAAAGTGTTATTTTGTGTATCTTTAACACGATTTTTGAAGATTTTTGTAGGTCTGACATCCGCTTTGCAAATTTTCTTTTACATATGTTTCATTGCTTGATTTGATTGTATTCAATTTATTTAAATTAAAATCAAATAGATTGTTTTATAGGTGTTTCTTTCAAAAACTTTGGCAAAAATAAAAAAATGGATATGATTAAATTATATATTTTAGATATGAATAAGGTATTTAAATCTCAAAAAGTACAGATAATTAATTGGTGAATTAGTTTTTGTTTTAGTATCCATAAAAATAAATAAAATTATAAAATCATCAAATATAGAAAATGTACCAGAGTTTTTTTTTTAAAATTTAACCAATGAACTTAAGTGTAATAAAAAAATCACTTAAATAATTTCTCTTTGAACAATAAAAATGAGATATAATTTATATAATTTATAAATCCTTATAAATATACATATGATTATAGATATATTTATAAAAATTTAAAAATAATTATCTATAAACTTTATATTTTTATGGTTTACCTTGTTTAACTGTTGATTACATGACTTAATTATATATAAATAACTTAAAAACAAATTGATGAAATATTATATTTTCTTTCTATAATTCAACTATTAGTTATCATAAATCATTATTTGCAAGATTATTTGTGTTGTTTGGTAATTTATATTAATTGGTTCTAATTTTTTTTTTTTAGATCTGATTAAAATGTATAATTAATAAAACTAATCAACCAATCGAATTATAACAATTTTCTAAAACGTCACTTATCAGTGACATATAAGCAAAAGACAATTACATGACTTTCCAATTAATATATAGTAGGATCTTAGTCATTTTTCAGAAAAAAATATAATCTGATTATGTTTTTTAAATAAAAAAATATTTAAATATATTCAAATTTTACTTTGTGTTTAAAATGTTAGAACATGACTAAATTTTGAATGATAAAAAATGTAAAATATTCGAATACTTCTTTTTAAATCATATGTTTCAAGTTAATTTTTGAATTATTGGATATATTTGACAATAAATTTATTATAAATTAAAGGATATGTTTTAATCTAATATTTTTTTGGATTATTTGTCAACTGAAATAAGTTGGTTTATAATTATTATTTTTCTAGAATCAAATTAGATAAATCAAAAATGAAAAAAACATAGACTAATCAAATTATAACAACTCACTATGAATGACATGTGTATAAAAACCACTTAAGAGACTTCTCAGTTAATATATATATATGATGTGATGATATATTTCTTACAATAAAAAAATATTTAAATATATGTAAATTTCACTTTGTATTTAAAATAATAGATTGATAGAACATTAATACATTTTGCATGATCAAAAATGTAAAATAATCGCACGCTTCTTTTTAAATCATATGTTTCAAATTTATTTTTTTATTATTTGATATATTTCACAATAATTTATCATAAACTTGAGGATATGTTTTTTTCTAATATTTTTTTGGATTATTTGGCAACTGTAACAAGTTGGTTTATAGTTATGTTTTTTAGAATGCAATTAAATAAATCAAAAATGAAAAACATAGACTAATCACTCACATGTGTATAAAAGTCATTTAACTGACTTCTCAGTTAATATATATATATATATATATATATATATGATGTAATGATATATTTCTACAATAAAAAATATTTAAATATATTCAAATTTCACTTTGTATTTAAAATAATAGATTGATAGAACATGAATAAATTTTGTGTGATCAAAAA